CGCCTGGATCTATGTCGTCATGCACTTTGCTGCCATAACTTGGCCAAAATCGACCTGACAGGTAACCTCTTGTTCGTGATCTCTGCGTTGGGAAAAATGGTCAATTGTGCCCCTATTCCCATATGACTGAGTGATGTGCTATGCAAGTCACCAACTTGCTGCTAGAGGTGGTTCTCGCAGAGCACGACTGCCATCCTACCGATTTTCAGAACTGTAATTATTCTTACACGATCGCTTTTTTTCAGACCTAGCAATCGATGAAACTGAGGCCCGGAGGACATACGCGGCTGCAGCTAAGGTAAAATCAGAAGCTCTTGAACGTTCGGCTGCCGAAGTTGAGGATGTACTCTACCGGAAAGTCACGCAGGAGTGCGTGGGCCAACTGAGCAACTTCTATGAGAACTGTCCTTCAATACGTCAATTTCTGTCTAATGAGATGTTAGAGAGCATTGACAGTGTTCTGAATGCCAAGAATAAAAAGACTTAAGGATGCCAATGGGTGACTGTGAAATTGAAAATATAAAACAAAGCAACCGCACTCTCTTCTATTTTCGCAATACAATTCTCTCCGAGCCTTTCACGCCTGATTTCGCACTTGTCGTGAAGGAACGTGAGACAACGACCATAGAGTGGACTTCGCTAAGCCCCAACCAACGCTAAGCATAAAATCAACTAATCGTGGTAGCCTGTGGACGATCGTTTGGAATTCTCTTGAATGTAAAACTAGACGAGTGATCCTCATCTCGGGGGAGGATTCCGCTTGTCTTACGCACACGCAGTTTTTTGTAGCCTTCCTTGAGCACGCGAACCTTACGGAAATTTTCGAAAATTCGCGCAAAAGGGGTCCTGAATTCTATGCAGTCCTAAAATCTTCAAATGGCAGGATCTAGGGGCTTCAGTGCAAATAAAATTCTGTAACTTTTGGACTGATGCTTTCAGTAGATATGATGTATTATCCGAGAGACGAATGTCATGAAAGTACATTTGCGAATGTATGTTTCCAAGAACCGAGTAAGTCCCCTCTAGTTCGAATTAAGAAGCTCGCAGGCAGGACGTGGGAATAGAGAGCCTCTCTCCTCTCGTCCTTGCTCTGAGGCCTTTCGCTAATTCCCAGGGAGATAAAGGTCAGAAGTTAGGTTCTGGTAAGGGTCAAGGCTTGAGCCAGAGTTATTGTTAGGACAAGGACACGAGAATATTTACTCCTCCTAGAGTTTCTCGCAAGGCTACCTGTGTTACCGGAAGGGTTCCTATTACCATGACCTATCAGCTTACAAATGGCAAATAGCGACGTTGAGACGGAGGTCGCCGTCTACACTGTCAGCCTCTAGCATAATTTTGGGATGTATGTCAAGCTAACGTCACAGCCTGAACGGCCCCATCCAAAACACCAATGTTCTAGGCTAAGTCTGGGTACTGTCGTCAAGACGTTAGCCTGCGGGCGCAGCATACGATTGCGCGATCTCCGTAGCTGGGCGTACAAGTGCAGGCCGCTACCTAGCTTAAGGTTACGGCACGTTGAAGAATGGGATTAGGGAAAGGATTAGCGCTGAGGTTAGGGGTAACTCTACCTGCCGCATACCGTCTTATCCAATCTGCAGTTCTTTAACCCAGTAATCTAAGATAACCTGTCTTCCATCCGTTTACACGCCCCCACCTCGTATTCCCCAAACTGCGCGATCTGTCCCTGCACCTAGTTGGTGTAATAAAACGAACATATGGCAGAAATGCGAGTTTTCGTGATGGCTTCCGCGGATTCCGTTTATTGCCGCGTCCATCTGCTCTACTGATAAGACTAGTATTATAATTTTTCCCGTAATTCAGGTGTCCCTCTGCTTATTCGTATGACCTTCAAGTAGACCTCGCTAAGCCCCAACCAATGCTAAGCACAAATTCAGTTGATCGCGGTAGTCTGCAGACGATCGTTTGGGATTCTCCTGGAATATAGAACTAGAGGAGGGATCCATACCTCGGAGGAGGATTCCGTTTGTCTTACGCACACTCAGGTTTATTTGTAGTCTTCCTTGTGCACGCAGACCTTGCGGAATTTTCCGGAAATACACACAAAAAGGGTTTTGAATTCGGTCGGATCCTACTTCGTAGCCGTTACTGCACCGGCCAAACCCTCGTGCCGAACCCCAACCTAAACTCCCCCCTTAATGCCAAACCCTATCGGACAAACACCAAATCAACGTAATCACGCCTACTGAAAACAAGTAAGTGGAACACGAGTGTCGTTTCACAAGCTTTGGCCACGAAATACGATCATACCCTGAATTCTATGCGGTAGCAAAATCTTCATTTGCGAATATATGCTTCCCAGGAACTGAGTCAGACCCCTCTACTTCGAGCTAAAAGGCCTGTAGGCAGTACATGGGAATATGAAGCCTCTCTCCCCTCGCCCCCTGTTCCAGGGGCTTGCGTTAATCCCCAGGGAAATAAAGGTTAAAAGAAAGGTTCTGTTAGGGATTAGAGTTTGAGCCAGAGTTATTGTTGGGATTAGGACAGGGAATATTTACCTTTGACTTTTTCCCAAAGCTACCTGCATTATCGGAAGAGATTATATTTCCATAACCTATCAACTTACAAGTAACAAATAGCGACGTTGAGACGGAGGTCGCCGTCTACACTGTTAACCTCTAGCACCGTCTTGGGATGTGTGTCAAGCTAACAGCACGACCTGAACAGCCCCGTCCAAAGCACCCATGTTTTAGACTGCGTTTAGAAAAAAAAAACTTTGGGTATTGTCGCCCAGATGTTAAACTGCTCACGCAGCGTATGAGTGAGCGATCTCCGTAACTAAGCGTACAAGGGCGGACCGCCGCCATGTATTACAATTCTTCCAGGCAAAGGGAGACGATCGAATGTGTAAGCTCAGTCGTTTTGTTGCTGGAAGATGCATGCTTGCTTGATTGAGGTGGGCGCATTATATTAAGGTTACGTTCCCTGCTATACTTAGGGAAGTGATTACATATCTGGTCTAGCTTAAGGTTACCGTGAGTTAAGGATTAGGGTTAAGGTTAAGTTTACCTGCCACATACCGTCTTATCCAATCTGCAGTTCTTTAACCCAGTAATCTAAGATAACCTGTTTCCCATCCGTTTACACGCCCCCACCTGGTATTCCCCAAACTGTGCGATCTGTCCCGGCACCTCGTTGGTGTAATAAAATTAACATATGGCAGAAATGCGAGTTTTCGTGATGGCTTCCGCGGATTCCGTTTATTGCCGCGTCCATCTGCTCTACTGATAAAACTATTATTAGCATCCATCCCGTACTTCAGGAGGCCCTGTGCTCTATTTCCTCATTGGGTTTACATGTTCAATCCATGCTAAATATAATTACCGACATATTATCTGCGAGTCGAAATTCGCGATTTACTCATCTCAAACTGTGGCTTGTTCTTTTCAGCAAAAACCTAAACAGGTAAATTGCCTGTTAGGTATGTGTTTTCTGACTGTTTAGTAGTTGGCATGTTATTACCGACAGAGACAAGAGAGACTGGAACGGCCATTTCTGACTTATTAGCCGTCGTCAGCCAGCCGTACCCAACCCCGAAGTGTGGAACATCCGAGGCTCGAACTCGCGACCTGTTAGTTAGAAGTCCACGCCTCTAACCGCTGGGCCACGAGCCCGTTAGCTTTTACCCTCTTCCCTAGCACCCTAACCCCTAAGCCTAACCCCTAACGGGTGTGGCGGCGAAATAGGGTCTTGCCGCGTTTTCCAAAGTATCGGATTTTTACATTCTATTTCAGGTCGCACTAATACATGATGATATAAACATTCGCAAAAAGGCATTGTCTTGAAACTCATTGAACTTCCCTAAAGCTGGTTAACTATGCTTTTCAGTATAAATTATTACCCAAAGGAAGTGATATAATGTCGCCAGCACATTACAGCTTTCCCGTGTATTTTGTGCGTTTTCGCTGTGCATATAAAGTCAATTGGCTTTCGAGAAAAGAATTGCCGGAAATGGTCCCTTTGGTCACACCTGAACAAACGTATTAAAATCAACTGCTTGTCCCAAACAGCCAACACGACGGAGAAGGAGAACACGATTAATCAGTGATAAAAGTGCATTGTAACCTGCAAGTCATTCTCCCTGAAAAGGTGTGCATTTACAGCATCCCGTCCAGTTTGGGTGGAATTTCGCTTGGCCCCTCCGATGTGCGACCTCTCGCGGATATAGGCCAATCAAGTCCCCATGGACGCACTGTTGTGGCAGTTAATTGCGAGACGCTACCTAACGGCAGCCCTAACCCTAACCGAAATCGTAAACGTAACCGTAGCCCTTAAACATAGCCGTAACTGAATAACCTAACCGTAATACTAAAACCTAATCGTACGCTCAAACCCTAACCGTAACCCGAAGACCCTTGCCTAAGGACATAACCCTAACCCGAAAATCGGAAACCATTAACGGGTATCCTAATCCTAACCTCAAAATTAAAACGGAAGCCAAATGTGTCAGATGCGATTATGGAACCCCACAAAACAGTCCCAGTGAAAAAACACCCCGCCGCCTGTAATACGGGTCCTGGCTACCAACTGCGATCTAACCCTAAATTTTAATAAATGAATGCTATGTGGTGTACCGTTAGCACAGCCCAAGTGCACCACGACGGTTCTCTCGCAGTTACAATTATGAAATGTAAGTACACCTGTTTCCACTTCAAAGTAGAGCACCAGTGGGCAGGGAGAAGTGACTCAGAGATGGACGCGAGAACTTGATCCTACGTCATCAACACCCCCTCTCTTTCCCATAGACTTCTGCGTTACCATAGCCATTTAAAAAAACAACTGGTCAAAATACACGTTGATGTAAGTACAGTGTCAATATGATAAAGGAATCAGCTCCGTGTGTAGATAAAAGACGAAGTTGTACAAGCATTTACAAAAGAGGATGCATATAGGCCGAGGATCTGGTGACTTCTGGCCGGGCTCCGCGGACCTCATAGTGGTCTGGAACGTCAGTTCAAGGCGTCCCCACGTCCCAAGTCCGCCTAAGACACCGAGCCCAGTTCCTGCAGATTCAAACACTCCAAGACTGATCTCGGCTCAACAACTGCCAGGTAGCAGACAAGTTCCTTCAGAGCGAAGATGCGCTGCCCGGCGTCCAGATGGCAGGCAGAACGGCGGAAGACGTGTTCCACGAGAGTCGTCTGGAGCGACTGTCTCAGGTAGGCGAGAGATCGAACCTCATTGAGTGGGAAGTCCACTAGGCAAAGGTTGTAGAATGTATGCATACAATAGCAGTCCGTGAGTTTTTATAAGTGAAAATCATGCGAGCACCAGCTGGCAAAGTAACAACCTATATTGCATAAAGAAGGCTTTGGCGCTTCCTGCAGGTAGGAGATATGACAAAATGAAGAGTAGGAGACATTCGAGTCTCGTAGGGTGCATTCTGGTGAAAGATACGCGGTTTAGTCGATCTCCGCCTACCATTTGTACCTCTTAATCAGTTCATCACGGACTAAGCTCTCAGTTTCCGATCAAAATTTGCTTGAATGGTGAGCGACTGGCTGCGTAACAAAAGCGTTCGCTTCCTCGACCCATACGATGAAAACCAGGGTCCAAATAACCAATTTCCTCAATCTGGGATTGTGTTGCGCCTGTTTGATGGCGACAAATAAGCCCAAAAAGGTCCTTCCAGTCCCTTTTGACAGTAAAAATTTCCGATTACTTGTTGTACGTCACATACGCCCCCATTATTTCCTGCACGTGGAATCAATCGCAGGAAATTATTCCCACAGAATTTAGAGTGTTTTCGAACATAGCCAACAGAACGTAAGCTTCTGGCAAAAATGAGCGAGTGTTGCCTTCAAGGTTCGGTGAACAGCTGGAATCGGACTCAAATTTCTGGTCTTCTCTGTCTAAGATGGGGTATGACTGCCTAATGACCGCAGACAGGCCACAAAAGGACATTCAAATCGCCCGCGTTCTTGTCGGTAACAGCATCTGAAAGCTATTGAGATGGCGGGGGTTTTCAGGGTCCCCAGTGTTGGGTCTGAGAGGCCTTTGACAGCAATGCGATAACGTGCTCATCCAGGTGAATCAGCAAACATTTTTTAATAGTCAAGAGCACTAAAGAATTTGACTGAAAATGAAAATAGACAATTTAATGTGGTACTTAATTCTGGCAAGTAGTCCTTGTTTATTTGTTATAAAATACGGACCATCGTCTGGATTTCTGGCTGCGAGCTCCACATTTCATGGTTAACATCTAAAGCGTAATTAATGTCTACTAGGATTATGGAATATACTAAGTAGACTGGTTACACTGTCATCTTCTGAGTACAAAAGAAAGAACTTCTATTTATCAGGATAAGGTTGTCAGAGAAGGGTTTCGCGCGTATGGCCCTGAAGACAGTTTCCATTAAATGGACTACCTGAATAATTCTCAAAGTTCTCATGCCTTATAAGTAGGAAATGCCATCAACGTACTGCTGCTTTCCTTCGATCCGGTGGCGGCCTTACCGTTAAATATTAAATGAGGATGGGTAGATCTCTGTTTTGTCTATTAATGTGGCAAATTTCTGATTAATTCTACTCTAGAGTTCGTCCTGGTGCAATTTTATCGACGGAGGCATCATTAGATCTCCAGCAGATTGCTGTGCGTGTGAGAGAGAAGAACGTTTGTACTTTTTCTCCATGTCAACTTGCCAAACATTATTTTTCATCTTGTTAGCTACAGGAACCAAGCCAGTCACATTAAATAACAATCAACTCATTGAAGAAGGAGACACGATGGGTGGGACAAAAGGGCAGTTGAGGCGATGGCGGCGGGTGTGTGTTGGTGTTCCATGCACTGGTCCACCAGTCTCTGTGTGGTGGATCTGCAAGTGACCCGTCACGTCCATGCGTGATGTGCATGTGTGGGCAGGACAGGTTGAGAGACAACCCTCCGCAGGCACTCTGACAAATCTTCCGTAATCGGAAGCTCTAGTCATCTCTCCAGTCCACGCACCTTCCTCGCGGGGGTCTATGATGCACTTGAGCGCAAGAGGCAACCGAAACTCATTTTTCTTGAATTGGGGTTAAGTACGTAGGTCCGCAGCTCTTGGCCCGGCGCATCTGAGTGCATTCCGCAACTGAAACGCTACTCACCTGATCGAAAGCTGGCATGAATTTCATGTCTATCAGAGAACACCGCAAGCACAAGGATACAAATTTATAAAGACAAACCCCATCGCCGTTGTATCTCGGGGTTTTCCGTGTGCTAAGAGGTCCCAACTCCCGATGTGGCTTTTGCAGACTGGCGCTAGAGCCAGTAAACTAGTAGTAACTAGACCTAAATTATGCATAATAAATTAACTGTCACGGAAAACTGGTTGCCACGCTGTCATAGGTGCACTTTGAATGGGCGTCGACCGCTATCCAGCATTGGATGTCAGGTTACCGAGCTTCTGTTTCTTCCGTACGTTGGATCATACGAAGCTTTTGATGGCATTGACTATACTTGAAATAGCATTACCGACAAAGACAAGGGAGACTGGAATGGTCATTTCTGGCTCATTAGCCGTCGTCAGTCAGTCATGCCCATACCATTGTATGCACCCGATCGCAATCGCAAGGAAAACGAGTCGGTGGCTCAGTGTTAAAGGACGTTAGACTGCTGATCAACAGGTCGCAGGATCGAGCCCCAGCTGTTCCACACTTCAGGATTGGGTATGACCGGCTGGCGACGGCTAGTAAGCCAAAGGTGACCATTCCAGTCTCCCTTACCTTTGTCGGCAATCCTATTCTACCTATTTCATGCGCCGCTGTGCGACTGCTGCTTGGGCTCGAGAGAGAACCACAAGGTACAAGGGGACGAGTGAGTTCCGTAGCGCGGTCGTTGAGAGCCCTTCCTATCGCAGTGTATACTGTTGTTTACGTCAACCATTCTTTACTCAATGTAATTCTGGCCACTCAACAGTCTCTTAACAGTATTGCCCTTCATCATTGGACCTGAGCTTAGTTAATGCCTGCCTCCGAAGCCACTTCTGCTGAGCTAGTTGAATAACTCTGACCGTGTGATATAAGTTTCTTTTGGAATTTGAACGTCAAGTATCCCTGTTCAGTCTACTGCGGCTTCAGACTACGGAAGTAGTCCGTCACCTACCCGTCGCCCATTAATATTGTCAAAACTTCCCCAGACATTAGCTTCCCACTTTATTGGAAGTCGCCCTCGAGGGTATCTAAACAGCGAAGTATCTGCAAGAATTTCGAGGCCTCGTGGCTTTTATAGGACCTATGTAGAAGAAGGAAGCGTCTGCTTGGCGCTCTCTACGACCGTCCCAACACGGTTTTCGTGGAGCGTCCGTCTGAACTTGTTTTAGTACCCTTGAACCCAAGAATCTGACTTCTGACCGAGGCAACTTTTCCCGTACTCACCGGAAGTTAGGATTGATAGGGCTTTTAATAGTGCTATTTCGAGGTCATCCGGTCTCAAGACTGCTGCCGCGTTCACAATCCTCATTATAAGAGAGCCCGCAGTTGTGGATTGGACAAACGGACATTTTCTTCGGTCTTCAAAACAGGGTGAAATTCCGGTGGGCATAAACTCAACAGCTCTGTGTCCGTCTGGTGTGTTGAGATTGACTTCACCAAGGAATTCTCTTGGTTTGGCTCCTGTTCCGCTTTTTCCATCCGCGAAGGACCAATCAACTTCTTCTATCCTAGAGTCCTGCAGACACTGAAATAAAAAGGCTATTTATTATATTTCAGTAGTAAAGTTGGATCTATATCCACTTTACATATACTAACCAGTCACCTTCGTGATAGACAAAGGAAGTAGTTTAGGCCAACGACAGCGCATCTGATCAACTTGATGAGCGAGTGATTCGCTGGATGCGGGTGGCTGCTCCCAATGCACTAGCCGAATTAAACCCGCGTCTTCCGTAGTCAGTTCGAAGCAGCCACTTTGTATTTGAGGCATCAATTCACGTCTGCATTCCACTAAAACGCACTCGAGAAACCACTTGGTCCAGGTTTCGTTTGCGTGGCATAGTCTTTTGACCTCTTCCGTGCACATTTTCACCCGCCCTTCGCCCATCAAGGCCTCGACTGGTGGGCCTTCTTGTAACCAACTGACACTGGCCCGGAAGCTAGGTGGAGGTAAACCAAAGTCCACCGAAAGCGGGGGCAATGAAGAGTTGGGCGCTGGTCTGTTGTCTGAATGACAATGGTAGGACTGCGCATCATCAAAACTGGTAGTATCAACCATCACTTGTTGCCAAGGTGGATTTTCGGCGGGTTGAGAAACTGAGTTCAAACTAGGCGGTCCTGAGGACAGTGAGTTGGTGCCAGCAAGCGGCCTGCTTCTGGCGAGACGAGCATTCTGAACACCTATAATGTAATGGAAAAAAACCTACCGTCACCTAATTGTCGAATTCAAAAATACTAAAATAACGCAAAGCAGACTGCCCTTTTCAGAGTTTTTGCATGTAGTATAGATGTCCTGATATTTAACAAAGCCCTCGTAAAGGCAACCTGATAGCTAGGGCCAGCGGAGGACAATTGTCAAATAAATACCTTTTCAACAGAAAGCAAGTGTTGATCAAGGGACTACAGCCTCGAAGATAGTTTTAAGAAAAGTTTGGGTTCAAACTGCCAAATCTACATTACATTTGGTTTCAATATGCTGTAGGTTTATCAAATTATTTCCAAAATGTCGTCGGCTGCATTTACATGAAAATGAGCCGATGTCAACTACCTTGATAGCATCTATTTACAGGTTTAAGGAGCTGTGTTAGTTAAATTTATGTGCTTTCACTCTTTTTATTCCTGAGAAGAGTAATCACCTTCTAAATGTGCCTCCACTCCATAGGCTGAAGGTGTATCAGTAAACTAGGAAAAGGCAACATACTTACTCGTGAGGAAAGAGGACATTTTTGGCCCTCTACGGGCCGTGATTTTGCTCTCCTCAGAGCGTCCTTATTGTAAAAAAGTACAAGGAAATTTGGGATGCCCTTCATCGTAATCCAGCTGGGAATACTCTGACTTCAAGCCGAGAGATCTATAATTTCAGCCTGCCTCATCTGAGCATTCAGTCGAACGCTCTCCTAAGGCAGCCATGACATTAGAACCTCTCCCTTCGGTTTCCGATATACTTCTAAATTTGGTGCCAGAATAATGTTCATTTCTGCATAGTACAGGCAAAGAGTACATTGGCAGGACGTGCAATTTCTATAAAAGAGGCTTTGAGATTAGTAAAAGGAACATATTCAATCTAGACAACAGGGCATTTTTCAAGTTTGAAAAT